CAGAAAAGGATCTTGGAATCATTATTGATGCCAAAATGAACATGGGCCGATAGTGTGGGGATGCAGTCAGGAAGGCCAACCGCACCTTTTCATGCATCCACAGATGCATCTCAAGCAGGTCCAAGGAGGTGATCCTCCCCCTCTATGCGGCACTGGTCAGGCCGCAGTTGGAATACTGCATCCAGTTCTGGGTGCTGCACTTCAGAAGTGATGTGGACAGCATTGAGAAGGTTCAGAGGAGGGCCACCCGCATGATCAGGCGGCAGCAGAGCAGCCCTACGAGGAGAGGCTAAGGGACCTGAACCTGTTCAGCCTCCACAAGAGAAGTCTGAGGGGGGGATCTAGTGGCCTGTTACAAACCAGTCAGGGGGGACCAGCAGGCATTGGGGGAGTCCCTGTTCCCCCAAGCACTACCAGGAGTGCCTAGAAATAACAGTCACAACCTGGCAGAGGGTAGATTTAGACTAGACATCAGGAGGCGCTACTTCACAGTCAGGGTAGCTAGGATCTGGAACCAACTTCCAAGAGAAGTGGTGCTGGCTCCTACCCTGGGGGTTTTTTAAGAGGAGGCTAGATGAACACCTTGCTGGGGTCGTTTGACCTTGCAGCTCTCTGGCCTGTGGCAGCTTGGCCCACTTCTGCTGCAGTGGCCACCACCACCACCTCAGGCTCCAGGTCAGGTCTGGCCCATTAGGAGCCCCACAGTCATGTTCTGTGTGTTAAATTTCTTTTCTTTTTATTATATCAATTGTTATTTTTTTTTCTCTTTCTTCTACACAAAAAATATGCATTCATAGAAAATAACCAAAAATAGCATATGAAAAAGGAAACCCAGGTACAAATCTTAATAATTATCTACATTCAATTGGCCAATTACTTATTTAACTGGTCATTTCTGTGCATGGGGTACCACCTGCCACTACAATGACTGTCATTACCACACTGCACTGCTTAAATACAGTATATAAGAACAAATACAGAATTATGCAAGAATGCATACAGTATTATGACAATTTAGGCCTTACTAAATGCACAGTACCAGATCCTGTCTGTGGTCTGAATTAACTGTATTAATTAGAGATCAATATGGATGTATATGCAGAAGTGCAAAATTGACAAATTCTTAGGGCTGTTTAACTCAATCAGAGGGGTTGCTTATGAGTTGCCTGGGAATGCAGTCTATTGGTGACTAATGATCTAAAGGGCTAAAACAGCAACTGAGAATCAGCATGTTCAGAGAGACTCTATCCCTGGAAATTTTCAAGAGCAGTTTGGGAAACACTTGACTGGGATGGTTTAATCAGTATGATCCTACCATGAGCAGGGGCCTAAATTACACCTCACTTTCTAGCCCTATTTTCCCATGAACCTACCCTGTGTATATCCTTTTCCATCAGAGCAGTTTCTCTGTGGGCTGAGTTACTTGACTTTGGGATCAGATTCTGTTAGTGTTGTGGGAAGAAATAGACCCTACCACATCAGAAGAACAAGACAATAATAGTCTACCAGCAAACAGTAAATGGGCACTAACTTAGTTGATGGCTAACATGCTTTTTTCATGAATTGAGAAATAACAATCAAAGTATCTTCCCATTTTGACAGGGTTTTGACAGGTTGGCTCAGGAATCCTTAACCCCCAACCTGTGGGCCACATCTGGACCATGGAACATTAAAATCCAGCCCATGTGGCTGCTCTAAGGGTCCAGAAACTGAGTGGGCAGGCAGAAGCAACAGCAATTAACATAGCCACCAATCCCCTACCACCTAATTGCCAACCCCTGAAGGTCATTTGACATGGTCCTGCACATGGGACCCACTGGCATGTTCACAGCTGGGGTGGTAGAGCCTAATCCAGCATGGGTAGGGTTGGAGGCAGGGTGGCAGGCCTGATCCAGCATGTGCAGGGCCAAGGCTGGGGTGGCAGGACCCAATTCAGCATGCCTGGTGCTGGGGCAGTAGGGCCTGATCTGGCACCTAAAAACGCTAGGGGTGGAACAACGGACACAATCTAGCATGTGTGGGGCTGGGGTGGTAGGATCAGCTTGGTGTGGGTCACAGCCACAATCAGGGATCTGGCCTGTGGGCCCTGCATCACTCA